AGCTTTTTAGAGACGAATTAATCAAATATTTGCTAGCTAGCTTTGTTCCCAAACGTGTGCCTTGTTTTTCTCTAACTATCTACGCCTGGGAGTATGGGAGGAGTATGGGATTGTGTAGAGATTTTTTTTAACTGTGCACCTGAGTCTTGTCTTCACTTAGGCATTATCACTGCATTCCGTGTCTTTCTTTGCCGTGCCGCTAGATGTCGCATGATCGCGAGTGTATCAACCACTACTTGATACGGTCACGAGATCTAGTGGCACGACCGAGAAAAACGCGGAATGCAGCAATATAATGCTAAAGAGAAAATGGGGTCAGGGGCACACTTAAAAAAAGCGCACTATAGCATACATGGTCTTGTTGAGATTTTCTTTCGTCAATCAACTATGGAAACTCAGACGATTGTAACGGTAAGTTACATCTCTAATGCGGCCGGTCGTAGTCTAGGAGGTCTGAGGTCGGAGTTCGTGTGTATCGAACCCGGAACCCCGCCATGGATAGTTAACACGTTGTCCACAAGCCACGCAAGGAGCATCACAAGGTTTTTATAAAACAACTAATTGAAATTCTTCGCTTTACCTCCGCACCTTTACCTGCCCTGGGAGTCACATGGGCCCCTCCAACAGAAACAGTTGAACAGTGACTCTCCGTCTTCAACAATTTTTTCCCACTATTCTAGCAGCCAACATGGATACTCTGCATGACGCCAGAGAGTAAACAATAGTGCTTTGGATATGTAAATGAGTAAATTACATTATGTGCATGGAATATAAACGTGAATTATGGCAAAATATAATTTATTAACAGGTTTTCAATATAATGTAAAATGTATATAATTTCCTAGTTTTGAAATTGTGAATTAAAAAGTTACAATCTTTATTGGATGTTCAACTCTCGATGTCCAACAACACTGATATGTTGATGATCTGTTATGTTGGTATCGACACCAAGTATCGCATTGATTCAAGCCTCTTGACACCCAACAGACTCCAATTTTAAAATGAAGAAAGATGCAAATATGGAGTTGCTTAGACTATTGTCTCTTATTTAGGAGGCGTTTCCTGAAAGCTGATCTAGATGTTCACTGTCGGGAAGTTTCCTGCAACAGAGGAATCGTAAACAGAAGGGAATCGGAGAAAACAAAAACGTTCGATATCCAGGAGATTCAAATTTTGAAGATCAAGGAATAACGTTCTAAGTTCCGAACATCGATTGTTTATTTTTAACATTAATAGTCACAGTACTCTCTCTCTCTACAGTCGTCATAGAGTTAACGAACAATGAACTTTTATGCATAAAAAGTTGAATTTATATTTTAAGAACAGTTTCCCATCGTTAACTCAAAACATGTAACATCGAACCTTTTTGCTTACGCCAATTCAATTAGTATGACAGCCAGATGTCGGACACCCTGAAGCGTTGTTTAGTAAGAGAATTAATGGATTCCGAGATCATCAACTACAGATATCATTAGTCCCAGAAGATTGCTGCATGTTGTACCCGAGGTTGCTGAGGCGACAATATTTCGCTTGAACGTGATAACACGCGCTGACCTATAGGTCAACTTGCAGGTTTCCCCTTCCAGGTTTCTCCTGCAGTAGGAGCACCCACCAGCCCAGAAAAGCACTAAACTCCTAACTGGTCTACGGGCGTGCGGTTGTGCAGTGCGTGTAACTATGTGCGTAGGAGGACAGAGAGTAAAACAAAAGAAGAGGAAGGCAAGATGGCGCGCGGTCAGTGACCAATGGCGTTTTTCAGTCCGTTCTCGCATCCTCCTGGTTCTGATTGGAAGCCTCGCGGAAAACTACCGATCAAAGCAGCTGGTCACTAGAATTCTCCTCCAGACAGGTGGTTGAATTCGAGATAGCTACGACGCTTGTGAGGAAACTTCGCCATCGATGACATTCAAATGTTCGGGCCTCTAGGTCAGGACCCAAGGAGCATTGTTGTCAGCATTGTTGCAGACTCTGTAGCGTCACTCGCCGGAAGGTTCTAGGATTCGAGTCTGGACAGTGGATTTTCAGCACTAGCAACATAGCTAGGTCAAATTTAGCGACTGTCTGGAGGAGAATTTCAATGGCCGGCTGTTCAAATCAGTAGTTTTCCTTGGATTCTCCAAGCAAGCAAATGTCAGAGTAGTGCCCTAACAATTAGGTTTCGTATCGCATGTACCGGAAATAATAATACTTACTTCACTTATCAACATTTCATTATGTATTAAGCTGTGATAGGATATATATATATATATATATATATATATATATATATATTTGCAAACAACAACAATAACAATTTTCGTAAACACAATATTTCTTTCATGAATTCTCATTATCTTATACTCGCTCCCTTTGCATGGCCAAATTCCCTCGTAGTCATTAATTTAAACAATTTTACTTTAACACAAAAGTTGGTCTTCCTATATGGCAAATACAAATAAAAGTAAATGTTCCTGGTTTTTCTACTTTCCTTTCGGAAATCCATCGCAATCTTCAACGTCGTCCAGTTCCCATTGAGCCTCCATTTCCAAAGAATTCGGTCCACTCCAATGATGTTTGCGTCCTTCACACACGTAATTATATTTCCTCTCTAATTGTACATTTACTACCTTAAAACATCGCGTTTACAAACTCACAATTCAGTTTAATTCTTCCGGCAACCAAATAGCTATCCCTTTTGTAACTGACTCACAGACGAACACCGTCTGCCCCGTTTTTTTCATCTCGCGCGCCCTTCATCTGTCTCTCACCTGCGCGAAATTGTTCTCACAACACGTCTCTTCTTCGTTTCGCGCGCGGGTAATAAGTATTACTCGCGCAACATTTCTTGAACGATGACCTTGATCCCCCTCCCTTGTGCAATAAACAGTTGAAGGCAAAAGTTCGCAGCGGGCACTGATGACAACCTTCCAAGCATTAAAACTTCGTTGGCGCGAAAGAGAAGCTAGTCAAAGCCAGTTGCTTTCATAGTGCAGAAACCCTGTTCAGATTTATTGTAAATATCGAAAGAAATGGCTGAGTCAGGTCTAGGCCCTTCAAAGGAGTCAAGAAAAACTCCCGAAAAAGTTAAGCACAAGATGCAGTTTTGACTTTCATTTCTCAGACGTTGGCATTACTTAAAATACTCTAGTGGCCGACTTTGTAACTAATACCCCCCACTCCACCCCAAATCGTCAATCCATCGTTCAAGAAAAGTTGCCCCAGTAATAGCATCGCAACACGCTCACGTAAGAGTAGTGCACGTTTTCCTCGGGAGGTGGCGGTGATCTTCCCGCGCTGTGTGGCTAGATCCGGTTCCGACCTACCATCGGCTAGCAGGGTTTTCTCCAACTAGGTATCTCCCACGAGAGGGGGAACCGCCCCAGCCGGGACAAGCTCTAAGTCCCCGACCGGTCTCCCGGCAGGTGTGGTAGTGAAGTGCACGTCATGGTAAGTGTGGTGATAGGACAAGGAAGAGGAAGGAAAGATCGCGCGCAGTCCGTGGCCCGTTTGTTAGGGTACTGCTCCGGCATTCGATTGGTGTTGATCGGAGAAACCACTGACAACTACCGATCAGACCAGCCAGCCGCTACAATTGTCATTCAGACAGCGACTGAGTTCAACGTAGTTAACAAGCTAGTGCCGCAAATCCTGCAACCGTCGGGACTCGAAAGTAGGCCCTCCCTGTAAAGGGTACTGCAGTGATATCAGTTGATGCCCTGAGCCACCTCTTACGGCCAAATAGCTCGTAGGGGATGTAAGTGACCCCGCGGGGACTCACCTTGTGTCCGAAGAGCTGGCACATGCACAGGCGGTGGGCCATGGCACGCTGTTCCGGGGACGACCCCACTTCAGCCTCTTTGTCTGCGAAACACCAAAGCAGCCATTGGTCAAACAGTTTCCCTGCGCGAATATTACTATTACTTTCTCGCCCTTACTTCGTAAGAAGAGAAAGTATTGTAATCGTGCGCGTAATGCAATTGAATTGAATTAATGCCTCATTTTACGTGGCGAGACTCAAGCCATGCGGCCTGTTCTTCCGTCTGACCACGCAAATTTCGCTACGCTCCTTTCACCAACTAGCAGAGAAAGGAGGCGACGAACAGGAGATTTGAATATAGCGCAGAGGCGTCATTTAGGCTTGGGGATCTTTTCCATGCAAGTAAATCTACTAACATGGGACAGCCGGCTTTACTTCCCCTCTGAAGGAAGGCGTACGAAGAATTTTGTCGCCCTTAAACATCACGGCTTCGATCGGATTTGAACACGTCAACTTGGGTGCAACAGTTCGGTACGCTAACCGTTACACCATCGCCAGCCGTAAAGATCGTATTGTGGTGCCCTGTTAACGAAAAAGTGGATAAATCTTGTCCCAATATATTTATGTAGGGTGTTCGGGGAAGAAACGTTCAAACTTCGCAAATAATATCGTAAGACAATTTTAAGCATGCATTGTCTGATAAACTACTTGAATATTCTGAATGGCTTAGCCTCAATAAGCACTCAAAAGTTGGTTTAAAAAATGCTTTCTAGGCAAACATTTGCATTGCAGATGCATAGGAACACTCGAGAAACATTTAAATGAATTATTATTTACAAAATGAATGCATATATTTGTTCAGAAAAAAATTTAATCTAGAAATAATAAAGATGTCGAATTGTGTAAATTGGGTGCTTTTTATTTCTGGGTTAATTTTTATTTGCCCTCGTATAACGCTTAAGAGATTGGTTTAGATCTATTTTTTCTTAAAAGCCCTACTTTTTTGAAAATTATTGTGAAAATCTTCCTCAGGCTTAGCATACCTACTATACTTCCTACGCTTGGCATACCAGCCCTGAGGAAGACCACGACAAGATGGTCGAAACGTCGGCAACACAGCCTTCGACGCGGCGCCACGCGGACAGGCAAGATCATGCACGTAACTCTGGCCGCGGAAGCCTTCGACTTCCATGTATCTAAAGTTAGTGAAACGAGGAAAGGTATTCCTTGGCTCAAATACACGTCCGCGCGTGTAATGTGTACCTTGCACGCATCCCAAAATGGCGGCCTTCATATTGCACACTGCCCGCCGTTCTTTTTGCGTGGGTTGTCGGGGCTGCCTGGGGCCGACCTCCTCCTCGTCGTCGTCGTCGGCATCTTCGGAGGAGGCCGTGGCGGCGGCGGGGGCGTCGCTGGCAGCCAAAGCCTCAGGACTGCAATCCATCGGCGGCCCCTCCACAATCATCCCGTTCGGCAGCATCTACACGTTAGGAATTTTCTACATCAGGAGTAATGAATGCACTACTTGTTCATTTTAACGACGATGTTGTATCGACAGTGTAACTACTTGTTCATTTCAACAACGATGTTGTATAGACATTGTAACAACTTGTTCATTTGACAATGCTCGTGAGAACGCTGGTATCACCAGTACCGTCTTCCAGATCTTTGAATCCAATTCATCCATGAATGTGGAATACAAAGAATTGGCGAAGTAAACTACAAAAGAAACAAATGACGTCAAAAGTAATGGGTATAGAGTTATTAAATTATTATTATATGCAAAAAATTGCTTTTTCCGCATTCGTCGGGATTTTAATTCACTTTGTATCATTTTAGTAACCAAGTCACAATGAATGTTTGATCGTTATTTAATTTGTGTGTTATAATTTGTGTTGTAATTTGTGTTGTGTGATTCTCTGTATGTTTGTGTGTGTCATCATTCATCATAATTATTTCATCTCATCCCCCAGGGCTAACATCCCTGGGGTATAAAAATGGAATCAGCATTAAAATACTGTTTCCTCCCAAACAAACTAATAATAAGAATAGTAATTATTAATAATAATATATTAATGTATGTATGGAATTTTAGGATGAGTTTAATTTTACGTTTGCCAGCCAGAGGTGTTGCCAGCTCTGGGAACTTTTTTTATTTGATACCCACGCCTGTGGGTAAGAGAGCTATAATAATAATAATAATAATAATAATAATAATAATAATAATAATAATAATAATAATATTTTCCGGAGAAGTCAACTTTGTGTTTGCACGTGTGCTCTCTAAACAAAAGCATTAAACAGCTCTATTTGTTATTTTGGTAGTTGCTTCCTACTTATGTACAGATATGCTTGAGTCCCAATGATCAAGAAGGCGATTACTTGATCTAAATCTTCTGCAGTTGGCAAACTGAAAGTGGATAAATAACACAAAAGTCAATCATTTTCAGTCAGTCAATAATTTTGAAGTAAAACATCTTAACTAAAATCGTGAAGGATAAATGAGATATAGGATAAAAAAAGTGAATACCTAGATCGATTGGATAGTATCGAAGTGGATAACTACAAATTAATTTTCGGAGTCTAATGATATGTTGGAATTTTAATATGTTGGCATCTTAAAAGAGGTCGGTAGTGTAGGTAAGATATAAAAATGAACGTCATTAAGCTTTAGATTAGACAAGCAAGTGAACAAGCTCACACGCTTACACGCAGATGCTTTGGAGAGGAATTACAGCAAAGCGATCAGAACTACTGGTATTACAAAGTTAAACTGTTACTAGAAAGCGCAGGTTTGGGCGATGTTTTTGAGGAGATGGTTGGGGATAGGGGAACACCTTAGATAGAACGGTTCCGTTTTTATCGACTATCGGATATAAAAAGTAAAAATATCATGGCAGCAGCGACCGAAAAACGCTCGCTACTGGCATAAATTCACATGAGACAGTATAGGGTTGTGAAAGTTCTGTTCCCACGTTTAAAACGGAATCAATCGTGGTTCAGGCTCGAGATTGCTGCAGCATAGATTGAACGATTTAAATGGCAATGACTTTGCGTGCTTTGTTCTGATAGAGAAAATTGGATCCACATCCTACATGGCTGCTGCTGCTAGCTGCTGCCGATACATGGAGAGGAAAATGGATAGGAATGGCGTTCTATTACTTCCAATATAAAAACGTAACGCTTACCCACAACATATTACGTGATAATAGGTCTCACTTTAAGAAATAATTGGGAACATTTCTAGGAGAGGATTTCTTCGGACTATTAGACTAACGGTAAATGAGGAATTGGAGAATAGCACTGGTTAGTCGTATGAGCGGAGCCTGAAGAGAAAATAAGTAAATAACTAAATAATGAAATTACGCAATAATTAAGCTTGTAAGTTTACAAATAAATAAGTTATAAGTCAATAAATAATCAATTAAGTATTCCATCAAATAATTAAATGAACAATTTAGGGGGGAGAATAAAGTGGGTGTCTGAGAAGCAACTGCAGAGGCTAAGATACGAACGAGCTTCTCTTGCTGTATTCTATTATTCAGATAATTAATTTCATGCAATCTCATTCTGTGACAAGTTTTAAGGACCCGAATAAATATAACGATATAATACAGTTACTAATAGACGCATGATCAGAATGTACTTACTTGACCACTATTCAGCATGGAACAAAAGCTGTATTTCTGCAACAGACAAAAAGATTTAAAGATCTATCTAGAACAACAATTTTATGACTCTAAAGTTGGCATACTTTCAATCTTCTCGAAGGAAATTATAAAAAAACTTTGAAGGAATGCGTGCCTACAAATGGCAAGGCTGTTGTTTAGTGTTAATCTTCATCCATTCTTCAGTATTGTAACTAAATATCAAGAGACCAATTGGTATTTTTTGCAATATTTCAATTACTAAAAGTAACAGAAAATAGAATATATATTGCAAAATTTTGTATTTGATGCTCATACCTTTTCATTGCTTCTCCTTACATAGTTTTAAATAATCAATTTTGTAATCTACAATCTAATGAAAGTAATGAGAATAGAGGCTCTAAAAAATTAATTAGGCTATTTTAGTATTGCAAAAGAATAGTAGGTGATTCTACTTACCCCAACTTTTTCACGAATCTCCGGGTCACTAGGTAGTGTGCAGAGGGACTCCCTCAATTGTTCTATAACAAAACAAAAATTACTTTAAAATATGAGAAAATGTGGTACATTTTCAGATATTTTATAAAACGAGATGTATGAAACGCGCATAAAATATTTTTTTGAAACGTTTCATAAAGCAACTGTTTTGTATACGGTCAAATGTTTGGTAAAATTATTTGGCCCACTTCTCACGGGTAATATTGTTCTAACATTCCCCACAAGTAAATTGTCTGTGATACGTTCGAAAAATATTTGCAATTTTCAAAATTAGAAAGGTTTTAATGAAATCGAAACTATAGCATATTTACAAATGCACATTATTCTATTGGAGCAATAAATTGAAAGTAAACATTTGCAGGTTTTTTCAGAAAATTTTCAGTGTCGGAAATTTTCAGAAAAAGTGTCTCAGGACCTTCATGTAAAAGTATCCTCAAACACAAATTGTTATTTATGCACCAACAGCTTTAATTATCAGTAACAAAATGTCCGAGGAACTTTGACCCGAGGGTTTTTGTCGCCCACGATCATTAGAAGCACATAACGCCCGTGGTACATACAAAATTTTATTTTTTACCTAATTTTATTGATTCAGATTTACTTATTTACTGTTTAACTACGTAGATGTTAACTTGTCTCGGTTTGTCTTTCAATATTTTCCTCCCATAATGGTATTTCATAACTCTCTCTCATAAATCCCTTCATAGGAAAATATGTAGCATCATTCAACTGTTTTCATATATCCCTTATAAATACGATCCAACTAAATTATGTTGTCTAGTAACTAGTTGTTGTTGTTGTCTAGTAATGTATGTTGTCTAGTAATGTCAACTAAAACATGTATGTCGAGCCCTGTGTCGAAGGCAATAACAAACTATAGCGTATCGGCCGGAACTGCCGAACTAAACCTTGCTATTCACGTATTTAGTAAGTTTCAGCTCAAAAGCTTCTAATCTGATCTTCTAAACACTCCAGAAACATGTAAATTATTTATTATTTACAAAATAAATTAATATATTTGTTCAGAAAGAAAAATTAACTGAGAAAATAAACACGTCGAATTGTGTAAATTGGATGCTTTGTTTTATTTCTCTGTAAATTTTTCTTTCTGAACATATATTAATTTCTTTATAGATAAGAAACAATTTACATGCTTCTGGAGTATTTCTATGCTTCTGTAATGCAATTTTTTCCTAAAAAGCATTTTTTCAAACCTACATTTGAGTGTTTTTTGCGGCTTAACCATTCGGATTGTCCCAACAGCTTGTTAGATAAAATATTCTTAAAATTGTCTTAAGAGCTTGATATCAAAGTTTCAACGTTTCCCTTCCGGACTTCCTGTATATAGTTGAATAAAAATACCAACAAAGCGAGGTTAATTTGAAAATTAGATTTTCTTGTTCTCGAATTGTAAGTAACCCATTTGCATCGGTAAGCAAAGTACAGTTTTGATTTTATAGAAATCTAGATTTTATAGCAAACTTGTAACCCGTACCACCGTTCCTAATCAACACCGTTTTACAACTAGCAAAAGGATAGTTCAAGTAAACGTGCGCATAGAGAAGGTACATTTATGTCCAGTAACAAATCAAAGGGCCATCTCAGTATTTGCTCAGTAGATTAATGGAAACTGAATGAAACACCTGATGGAGATTGTAAGTCATTGATACGGTACCTGAGTAACATTACATGTTACAAACATGTTTAGTCTTTTAGAATTATTAGGAACAAATGTTAACTAATATTCATTGTTAATATGAATATGTCATTTTTGAATTCTGATGCTCAATGCTGTCTCTAAAAATATACGTATAGAAAATAATTGCTTGCCTGTTACTTTCTTAAAATGTTTTAGTGGTTCATAATATTATCAGCATTAATTGAGAACTTGCGTGTGTGTCACAAACTTTGCCTTTGTGTACATTATCTAGCAGCCACAAAATTTCAGCATGTTAATGTGAACAACACATTTTATCATAAATTCTAATGGAAATTTATGAGTAGATTATAAGTCTTATCAGAATAGAATAGGACACATCAGAGTTGAATTGGTCAAGAAACGTACAGAAATTCTTTCATAAGGTAATAGTCTACCATTCTTCGTTTGTAATGTAATATTTCTTAGATAATTTTCAAAACGACGGCCACTTCCAAATTTCTTTTCACAATAAATGTCATCATCACGAGTAAAATATTCTCCACCCACGAGTTCTTCAAGAGAGTTTTGAGTCATACAATACATTAAGTGTATAATTTTTAGATGGAAACAATTCAAACCACTATGTCACTCCAAATGTTACTGATAATAAATTTCTTTATTTAAGAAACCACGCGGAATCTTTGCTTTCTCTTCCTTGTCCTATCACCACCCCTTACTTACATGCACAACGCTATCACTCATGTTGAGAGACCAGTCGAAAGTCAAGGGCTTGTCCTGGCGGTGGCGGTGCCCTGCTGGTGGGAGATACCTGGATGAGGGAAACCCGGCAAACCACAATATATCTCACCATGCAGCTGGGAAAGAATCACAGTCACCCCTCGGGATACAACATCCACAACATTTACATTGAAATTGACGATAGAAGTTGACGCACCAAGAGACCAAATAACATAGCCACACACAAAAACTTAATCACATCAGATTTTTCACACAACCTCAAAAAGTTTTTTAAAAAGTGTCTACTTGGAGAGAAGGCTTGTGATCTGGCCCCAACGATGTAGGCAATCCGCCATGCAACAACGTAATGAGTGTAGTCCTGTCAATTGTTCTCTATCAATTGTAATTGATCTGAATAAAAAATCTGATGGGATGGATTTCAGATTCGGTTTCAACGATCCCAAAAACAAATAGGTAACATGGTCTGACCCCTCGGTTAGAAATATCTTTCATTTTTTATACACTTCGAGGTTATGTTAGAAACCTGATGTGATTGAGTAAAATGACACCGTATTTCGATTTAGCGACTCTAAAAACCTATAGAAACCATGGCCTGATCGTCAGCCAAAAAATACAATTCTTTTGTGCGACTGTGTAATTGATAATCACCAATTTCCACTCAAAGAATGGTATATTTCAGAATCAACCGAACACATCAGTTTGAGTATCGACAACATCCTTAGATCATATCTAATAATAGTGAGACTTTTATCTTTATTATTATTATTATTATCATCATCATCATCATCATTATTATTATTATTATTATTATTATTATTATTATTATTATTATTATTATTATTATTATTATTATTATGGTTATTATATTATGACAATGTCCCTTATATAGTGAAGTGAAGTATGGTGAAGGGGAGTGCAGTGTTATGTAGTGAAGTGTTAGTTAACTAGAGGTCAATTTAGAGATAACTGGACATTAATTATAACTACGATATCAACCTCTTATTCTAATTGTAAATGTTTGCAATAGTTTTGTAAGTGTTCTATTTGTAATCATATTTGCCACCGAGCATTAGCTCAAAGCAAACTTTAATAAATCTTTCTATCTAACGTCCGCCTCGAAATGGTTGGCTTTTATTTTCAAACAACTTTATCAAATTGAGATCATTACGGAAATGGTTTTAATGCCCTAAAAATATTTACATGTACTTTTAAACATAGGCATGACACGAACACTTTATTTATTTATTTATTTATTTATTTATTTATTTATTTATTTATTTATTTATTTATTTATTTATTCCGTGGCTGAATAATCCAATCGAGTGGTGTACCTTCGGAGAGGCCGCTGTCTCGCCGGCACTTGTCCTCGCCGTCGAAGATCTTGTTGGCGCGCGCCGTCATCACCACGCACTCCCTGTCCTCGTGGCCGTGCACGCGCTCGCACAGGTGGTGATGGTGACGCGCCACCTGCAGCACCATCAGGGGGGGTCCCATGCACACACCGTATTCACTGAACGGCGCATGTAGTTGGTGAACGACAAGAGTGCGTCCGTGTGTGTGTGTGTATGTAAGGGAGTAGGGAGGGTGTAGAAGAACGAAAATGACTGAGCAAAAGCACGAAAATAAAAAAAAGAAGCTGAAGAACGGGAGAGAGGATGCAGGTCTCTTTCTGTCTCTCTGTGTCTCTGTCTTTCTCTGACTCTGTTTCTGTTCGTTTCTCTCTCAGCATCTCTGTCTGTCTGTACTATGTCCCTGTATCTGTCATGCCTGAGAGAAATTTCACAATCGCAGGGGAAGAACACGCAATGAAGACCTCTTATGTGTGCAACGGGTTGCATCAAGTGCCGTTACGTAGAGCACCCTGTTCACGGCGCTAGAGTCTGAATGAAATCATCATCAACGCGCGTCTATGGGCGCAGGCATAAGTACATTCTAATCGTACTATGCCTATATTCTTCCCAGAAGTGCAAGCAGTAAGTTGGCAAACTTGTATCGCAATCAGATGAACGGCGGCGTATTAAGTACGGGTATGAACGGGTAGTGTCTGCTTACAGGTCAATCGTAGGGTACATTTTTAACATTCATTCAAGTTTCTAGTATTTACAATAGTACATTGCTTTCATTGAAGAAAAATAATATGATATTTTATACTTTTTAACTGACTGTCACCGTAACTGTTAATCAACAACCCTAGTATTTAATATTCATCGAGAATGGTATCAGTTATTGAATGTTACTGTTACCAATAGTATTCATTTTCATTTTGAGTTTCGTACAATAAAATCCATACACAAACTTTGTTAATTAAAGTATCTAAAGGTATGTGCCGTATGTTTTTGAATGCTAAAGGTAAAAGTTGTAACCGAGACATTTTTAATTATAATAAGCTCTCTTGTTGTTTTTTTTAAAGAGAGCATATGACTCTTTTTCGATAATGAATATCTCTTTTCAAAAAAGGTAACCATGCCGGTATAAAATCACAAAACTTCTAAATGTCCCTTTGTCTCGATAGTAGTGATAATTACTAAAGACTTCAATCGGCTATCATTCACACACGCTTCATTTCACTGCTTGCCATCCGTGTTCTGTTCTCGAGTCATCAATAAATCACTCGAAATGAAACTCACCGTTATACTGGCAACAGCTGCCGCAAACAAGAGAGCGATGTTGGACCTCATGGCAACAGTCGACTGAGCGACCTGGTTGTATTTTGTCCTCCCCACCACTCAACAAGGAAAGGTTTGCATCAGTGGTTTTGGTTTGAAAAAAAATACAACGCATGCGCATGTATAAGTGGACCGGAAACAGAGACTTTTTTTTCATTTGGAAACGAATTGTGCTTGACGTAGGTCATGGAAGAGAAAGTTTCGTTACTTCACGGCTACATTTCGGTGATTATCTTCATTTTCTGCCTGGCTTTAATACTTTCTTTCCAGTCGTAAGAATGTGAATAGTAAAAGTACAATAACTATGTTATTTATCCTAGTACAAAAGTACTAACTAGTCTATTATGAAACTGTATGTATAAAATAAATGAACAGGTAATAATACTCACAGGAGAAAATTCATCAGAACTACTAATTTGATATAAAGTAGGTGAAGATATTCATTTCAAACTCTGAGAGCCTGGAATTCGTTTAGATTGTTAGGGAAATATCATTGTTGGAGAAGCTCTTCTCAATGATTTAGGCAAAAGCATTGACCACGGACAGATGTTTTGCCGTTAATCGATATTTCTGTATCACGGACACACAAAACGTGGATTCTGACTAATACACAACGTGTTAGAGGAAGTAATTAACTACATATAGGAACATAATTTACCTTCGTTGACAGGAATGCGAGTTTTTATCAAAAAATCGCGATTTCTTCTGGAGCCTTACAGTACATTATTTTTACGTAAGTACGTAATAAGACGAGGAAGTAAAAATAGTGACAAAAATCTTATTTCTTTTTCACGACAATGCCGCATTATGTCGACTAGTTTAGGTAACAAAAATACCTGGCCATAAACAACAGGGTACGAGGGTTACGAGCCCCTCTCTACTTTCTACGTCTTTATTTATTCATACTCTCTATGTCCGTACCACATTGTTTTTCCTCAGCTAAAACCCATGTGTTGAAGGAGCGAAGATTCTCGAACGCTGAAAAAGTTACTGCGAAATTCGATGACAGCCCTGCGACTGGTTTAGCAAAATGATTTTCAGGACTGCTTCCAATACATGCCCTAGCCGAAGTGTGTAACTGCGAAAAGAAACTATTTTGACGGAAATGTTGCGTAAATTTTGTTGTGGTCAAATTTATTAACCAATTCTGGGAACTTTTTGAATCTAGCGTGTTCTATAATTATAAATAGTGAAAATGCTTTGTTAAGGGCAACGTGTTTTATACAAAATGTGTATATTCAATAATTAATTGTTGCATTTAAAAACAATTATTGAACTCAAAAATCTATAATCTCACAGAACTTTGACTTCTTTTCATGGATTAATTGCAACCCGGAAACAATAGAAACTAGACAATGAAGTTGGTGTTGATAATGACGTAATGGCAAATGAAGACCTGTTAACGTTCATTTTATTATTATTAAGGTATTATTAAAATAAGTGCTTATTAGTGTATTAGAAAAATAGTTCAAGAGGACGGAGAATGATGTTGCAAAATACTCCTTTCTAAACAAGACTATTGAGCCATGGAGTAGCTTACGGAGCCTTTTCCCACAAAGAGACTTTTAGGTTAAGATTAAATTCTAGTAATAGAGGTGTAAGCGCTACTATCAGTAGTCTGCCTCTGCATTTAGTGATATGCTTAAAATGAAATAATATTGTACTGCGTATTGGATTGTATGTATTTTAGTGTTCTTTATTATATTATACAATTTTATTTGATTAGTAAATTAATTGTGAAGAATTTGTCACCGTGCTTTATACCCAAAGCAAATTAAATAAATTATCTATCTACTATAAAACCGGTTAATAATATCAAGCGATAACACATCTGGGGTCCACTACTTTTTAACCCAAAGCAAAATTCTCTAGATCGCCTTTGCTTTTTCCCTCCAAATGGAATTATAATTTTACAGCTGTCCTGATTGCCGAAGAACTACGAACCCCGAACTGTCGTGCATTTGGTAACTGACGGAGAAATCCCTTAAATAATAGATAAAATATTCTGATGCGTTTTTGTCTGAAGGCGAAAATATTGGATACAATGTTAAGCGATCTGAACGATGCTTCAAAAGATTACGGAATGAAAACAGGTAAAAGGAAGGAAGCAAAAAGTGATGAAATACGAAAAGAAGAAGAGAATGAGGATAAGTGAAGAAGAAGGATCGAGGAGAAGAGGGGGACCGAGACGGGAAGGGGAGAAGAAAGAGGAGACAAAGAAAAAAAAATTATGAACAAAAAATGAGAAATTGAGTTAGGTATAAATTTGAGAAGTTGAAGGAGAGAAGATATCAACATGTGATAAGAGAAGTCTTATACCATTGCACTGACACACTTCTTTTATTATACATCGCACATACTGAGATATTTGGGACCCTGTGAATCTATTTCAATTTATTCAAAATTTGAATCAGGCATTCAAAATTGTAAAATTACACTACTTTGTTGTCAATTGTTACATTTATATATTCTGAAGAAATATTACTGATATCAATGCAAATGTACTTCGTATTATAAAATTAGTATCTCATTGAAAGAAAGAAAGCCTAACGTCTAAATCACGACCCGGATTTACAAGATTTATTTTTTCGAAATGAATAAGCCCTGATCGATTTAACTCGGCTTGAAGACGTTCAATTTTTATTTTATTTTTTTAACTTTAGAGAGTACTTTAAGCCTCTAGAACATTTTCAAAATTTTCTAATAACTTGTTCCAATTTTTCCTGTAATTGTTTTGCAAAAATAGAGTGAAATACATGTATCATGATGGCATTTTCATTTGGTATCTATCTCCCTCTCACTGTCTTTGTCTCTCTCTCCCATCTCTCTCTCCCATCTCTCTCTCTCCCATCTCTCTCTCCCATCTCTCTCTCCCATCTCTCTCTCCCATCTCTCTCCCATCTCTCTCTCCCATCCCTAATTCTCATTCTCTCTCGCTCTCTGTCTTTCGCTCTCTCTCTTTCGCTCTCTCTCTTTCGCTCTCTTTCCCTCTCTCTCTCTTTGTCTGTCTGTCTGTCTCTCTCTCTGTCTTTCCGTTTCTCTCTCGCTTCCCCGTCCCCTGCAGTAGATGCGAGCTTCACCAGCATCCCCAGGGTATTGATCGGCATCTGACGTCGGCGCATGGAACTACGTGCGAGATGTTGACTCCCACCTGCCCCCATAGATGGCATCACAGTCACCTCTGCTCCAACTACCCCTATCCATTTAACCCTCCCTGCCTGCTCCGCGAATTCCGTTGCCGGTAAAATCCAATTAGAATGAATCCCTGTGAGAATGGTAACGGGAAGGTAGATGAAATGGTGAAGAGTCCCACAAAGGATGTCACTGTGTTACAGGATATGTTCCCTTCTTCTGACTGATATGCGGTCTTTTAATTCTAACAATAAACGTAATCTACTTGGTCCTGATAGAATCCTCTCTTTTTTCTTATTTTTCCCCATTCTACGCATTTACGTCGGAAACAGAAAATACCGTAATGCTGTGGCAAAAATCTCTGATTTTTGTGACAGAAAACCTCGTGTTATGAGGCCATTATGTTGAAAAAGTGGATAAATCTTGTTCTTATATGTAGTCAATTATTTTCTATAAGGCGGCGGCCACTGTGAAGTGGATTTAGGCCCAAATTTCGGGCGGGCGGTGTCTATCGTTTTCGTCCGATGTGCCGGATTCGTCCAAAAATGCGCTGGTAATAGTGAACCCGAACAACTTCTTTCGACGGTGTCGTAAAATGTCTGCTCTCAAAAGATATGTTTCGTTTGGTTCTCTCGGTTCCATTCGTCTGAAATGAGCTGAAGAGTCAAGGCCATCTGCAATATCAAGACTATCTTC